GCATATGAGTTTGTTCTTGAAACAGTTTCACTCTGTTGCTCTGGGCTAGAGTGCTCTGGTATCACTGTAGCTTACAACAACCTAAAACTCCTCCATTTATACAATTCACTGTGCCTGGCCAAATTTTGATTTTTTTAATTTAAAGATGTTTTTTACCCAGCTGGATGTGGCAGCTCACACCTATAATCCTACCACTCTGGGAGGCAGAGGTGGGGGAGTTGCTTGAGGTTATGAGTTTCAGACCAGCCTGAGCAAGAGCAAGATTCTGTCTTTACTAAACCAGAAAAAAATTATCTGGGCATTGTGGCACATGCCTGTAGTCCTAGCTACTCAGGAGGCTGAGGCAGGAGAATTGCTTGAGGTGAGGAGTTGGAGGTTGCAGTGAGTTGTGATAACCCCACTGCACTGTAGCCAGGAAGACAGAGCAAGGCTGCCTCAAAAATAAAAATTCTTAGCCATGAAACCTTCTTAGAAAACATTTTTACTTGATATACCATATTACATTATAGGTTGTATTGAATTATGTGTCAGTTTCCCCATTTTAGCACTGCTGTGTTATGGTATATCTCTTTCTTTAGAATAGAGTCCTATAAGTAGGAATGAATTTGAAGTTCTTAATTAAACATGGCACTTAATTGATTTCTGTAAAGATTATATCACATTACACTGCCCTGTAGTCCTAACCTTTTGTTTAAAGGGCTACTTGGAGAGCTAAGCTTCACTTTATGAGAGAAGGTAAGAGAAAGCACTAAAACTAGAGAAGACCAATTAAGAATATATAGGAGTTTACACACTTGTAATGAATTGATAATAATAGAATATGATTGCCTATAGTCTTCAAATTGTACATCTGTATTTATGCTCACTCCTGGAATTAGGCAACATGCAGCCTAATGGCCTAACTGTAGGCCATTGCCCCAAGTCACATTTTGGTAACAAAGGTTTACTGGCTTACCTGTTGAAAATATTTTAACATTTGCTATTTAACATAATCACCAAGTTGCTATGCGGTGATCCTGTATAAGTCATGACTGACTTTAATTTTCATGTTTTAAATTGTGTGATGATGGGAATAGGAGGGCTGCACTTAGGAACTGGAATACTATATATAATGTTTGGATTAGAGAGCTTTCTGTGATTTTTAGGGTTAAATTGGAAAAGAGCTGGTATTAAACTTAGTTATTATTTTCCTGCCTAATAGTAAAAACTTAGTTGTTTTCATCAGTTTTAAGTTTTATGACATTGAAAGTTTATCTTATTGCTGAATTTAAACTCTCAGCAATTTGGAATAACAATCTTTTATATTAAAGTAACTAATTACCTACTATAAAATCTTTCTGTTTATAAAGATAGTGTGAGCTTATAGAAAAATCAAACCATACTGATGAAATTTCTTTAAAAGCAAGAATCTCTGATATATTATCTATAGTGTTTTAGTTAGCCAACACACTTATTTCCAGGGGGTTGTCCAGTACATAAAATGTGGATATACCTCATATGAAAATATCTTTGTATTCCTGAGATGAGCTTCATTTGGGTATAGTATCCATCTGAACTTTTTTTGCTAACATTAGTCAGAGTTCTTTTTTATCACTGTTTGACTAAATGAATATTTCTTTGCTCCTGGGTTTTCAAAATTAGGAACAGTTTAAATATAACTCATTATTTCTTTGTACTTTTAGAATATTAAAAATTTGTAAATATATACTATTTAAATTTTTTTCTAGTTTGGACCCAATCAAATCCTTCGAAGCTCCCGCAACTATCAATTCTGCATCACTTCATCCTGAGAAAGAATTTCTTGTTGCAGGTGGTGAAGATTTTAAACTTTATAAGTATGATTATAATAGTGGAGAAGAATTAGGTGAGTTGTCCTTTTTTTCCTGCTTTATAATGATGTGGTTACTTTTATCAGATGTTCTAGTAAGCAACACCTCAGTTATGTATAACACATTAAAAGCAAATTTTCAACTGACTAAAGGTTGGTGCTTATAAATGAAAAAGTAAACAAGTCTTATTCTTTTTGGAGAGAGAATCTTTTATAGACCTACAAGCAAACTCTGCTGAGCTCATTTTTTTTTTCCACTTTTTAAAAGTGAGGCTCATTATTATGTTGATGTTGTTTTTATATTATGATCCATTGATATTTAGGCTTCAGTGGTGAGGGACCAGTCATGTCAAAATCACATACAAACAGATA